ATAAAGTGATTTTCTGGATTTTTTTTGTAGATATATTAAATGCTACACATCCCAAAATATGAAATTCAATATTTAAATTTTCATTTGTCTCTTAAGAATTATAACATACTGACTTCAGAGTACATAATTTAAAAGCCATGAATGACCATCACAAAAGGAGACTGCAGTTCACTTGCTGTTGCTGTTATCTTTGTGGAAGTTGCTTGATCCAGAACAATTAACACCTTTAGGGTCATATCTACATATTAAGGAATGTATTTTTTTTTAAATCCATTTCAGTTTTATTTCACCCTGAAATTTTGATATTTGTGTGACATTAGATTTTAGATTTACATATTTTCCTGCTTGCTTGAAGTTTATTGTCGAGATGAATGTGCATTCACTATTTTCTGCCTTTCTGTGCTTCCAGGAAGGCAATAGCCAAGTCGAGTCTGCACCATCTGCCCTCTGAGCCCAGTGCATCATTGCTGAACAGGACAGACTCAGAAGCGAGCATCCGCAGCACTGTGGACTGGACGGTGAGTCTGGGTACAAGTAGTATGACACAACAAGGGTCTGAGAAAAAAACACAAATGTTACTTATATCCCTACAATGGCAGCTCAGCAGCTCATATACGTAGGAGATCAGACTTGTTGCTACATGGAAATTGAAAGCCAGGCTCCTCAATTTCACTGGGAGGGCATGGCTATTATTATAAATCTATGATATTGGTGATATTGGTAAATGTTGGTTTCTAACATGAGCCACAGTACAGCACTAACAGACATCACAGTTACCATTAAGGGAAGTAATAAATAGAGAACCGAAATTCACAAAATTGAAATATGCCACCAGAATATCTAATGTAAAAGCAAGTATGGGTGTAACTACACTACAGGCGCTGCAGATTTGACACCTTAATTCCACTTACATTTCAGCGATCTCTCTAATACGTTCTTGCTGGATATGCCTTTAGCATAACCCTATTTTGGTTTATCTGTACCCAAGTCATGGCCACAGGCCTCAGGTTGCACATGCAATCTGCCTGCTTTGACAACTTCTTCTTGGTTAAAGCTTGCACTAGCACTGATACCTAGCCTACATTATGTTCATCGTGGACACTGTGGGTTTCTATTACCGCAACATCTAGATGTGACGTAGATTCAATCCACTCCTTTTTTTTTCTGATTTCCACCTTTAGTCATCTTCATGTAAATCGGTCCACACTCCTACATCCGCCTAAGAGGGTCATCAGACTGATCTCTCTTGATGTAATATTTAGCCAGTCTACTGTTACTACTTTTTACCCCTTCAAATATTTTTGTAGTAATTCTTTTAACAGACCACAGATCTTTTTGTTTCACTTTTACAATAAAACATTACATATAGAATTTAAGAAATGTCTTCAAGGTCAGTAGATGGCCCCAGCAATTTATTTGGGCGGGCACTGCCCCCCGAGGCCCGCCCACAGCAACAGGTTTGTAGGAGATCATATTTCAGTTGCCATACATAGTCATGACAATGTTATGTTCATTTTTTGAGAGCTTTCCTGTTGAGTTATGGTATCACTAGCTGGTTTGGAAATGTAATGGTTAATCTTCAGCCTCAATGATTTTACAAAGTGTTTCATCAAATATCCATGCTGCATCAGTCATTTGACAATGATAAATATCAATGGCGTGTAGCCCTGCAAGCCTTTCTTTTTTCTTTGACAGTGGCAGGTTTATAGAAAACAAGGCTCTTTTTCATTTTTTTTTGTCCTTCTTTGAGCTTCCTTTGTGTGTTTGTCTTTGTAGGAGTCAGCTCAATATGGAGATCATATCTGGTTTGAGACAAATGTGTCTGGAGATTACTGTTATGTTGGAGAACAGCACTGTATTGCCAGAGCCCTGGTTAGTATCGCCCTTTGACTCTCTCCTGTTCCTTTCCTCCCTCCCTCTCTGTGTTCTCAACAACAAATTATATTTTTATGCAGCTGTTTCAATTTTAAAAAGAGTGTTTGGAGTAAATCATTTGCCAAATGATTATGTTTTTCTTTAGTTTATCAGACTGTTTATATGTCTAAATGTTTGCATCTCCTGCATATTTACAAGGCTACATCTGCTAAACATTCACTTTTTTTCAGTCAGATATTCCTGCATCTGCACCAACTAAAGTCTTTATAAAAAGACCTGTTCATCCAAATTGCAAAACAAAATCAAGATGGCCACGGCATTGTTGCTTTAATAGTAATAATACATTTTATTTATTATTGGATCCAAAGGGTGGGGGCGGCAATAACAAAGGCTGGGTCACCACAGACTTTATGCAGGGGATACTGGACAGGTAGGATGGGGCCATGTTGTGGATGGCTTTGTGTGTGTTGAGGAGGATCCTAAATTGGATATGGTGGTATTGTTACTTTTTTAAGTACACAATCTGAGTACTTCTTCCACTACTGCATCGGTGTAGCAATGGAAACAGAGACTGTGTTTTGGAAGACCAAGGAGAAGGGGACCAGGCAGTGACTCTTGGGGGACACCTTGATTGATTATTTACAGCTAGTGATGCATATATATTGATGTCTGTCAGTCTGGGAGATATGATTTAAACCAGGAAAGGGTAGTGTCAGTGATGCAGAAGGATGGAGTGATGGTGTCAAATGCAGAGCTGAGGATGAGGATACTGAGGTGTCTGAAGTTGAAAGAGAGCAGGAGGTTGTTGGTAACTTTCTGTTTCAGTGCTATGTTTAGAGCAGAAAAACAGATTCAAACTTAATAATATACAGTCTTTGTCAACAGTTTTCAGAAAACTTTCAATAGATATGTAGTCTTCTTCACTAGAAGTAGCAGTGGTGGTTTAAACTTTAAGTGTCTGGAAAAGGCATGACTGAAGAACTGTACCCTGACGCTTATCAAAGCAGTGCAAGAGTAGACACTGATCATCAGGTCAGGTGAAGCAGGGGTCTACTACGTGAGAGTGGATTATTACATGAATATTGTGTTTGAGGGAAGATTGTAACCCTGTCCCTCTTCAAAGATGATTTGGCACACTTTTTTTCTTTCTAGGCCATCCAGCGACTCCTGGTCAATGACTTTTGGCCTCATTCCAGTGGATGCTGTGAGCAGATTTTGCTGGTGTTTAAAAACAGCTGATGTTGGCTGTTTCCAGTCTTCATTCAGTCTCATGTACAGGGTCCTTGCTGTTTTCACCGATGTAGTGTGTAGCAACTGCTGTGTCAGTTGAGATTTCCCTTTTTGAAGACTGGCCCCCAGTGGTCAGACATGGCACTACTGCCTCAGATTTTCTTTATTCAAAATCTGTCCTAGCAGCTTAAGATCATAAAACAAATTACTAAAATTCTCTTGGTTAAAACACAACTAGTTTCATCTTTATTCCTGGTTTTTGTGATTTTATGTCTGCGGTTGTTTTTTCTTCCTCCAAAGCTGATCATCTTTACCTCTCCTTCTTTCTCTTTCTAGCAAAAGTCTGTTAGTCGGAGGAAGTGTGCTGCCTGTAAGATAGTTGCCCACACCATCTGTATAGAACAACTGGAGAAGGTAATATCTTGGTCTAATATTTTTTCACAGTACTCATGAGGTAGACCAAATGTTCAGCTTTTAAATCTACTTTATGAAGATAAACATTAAGGCACAGGTGTGGAACTTCAGTCATTGCAGACAAAGGTGAAAAGGAAAGGATTAAGAAGGACGTAAATTATTTTTCAAGAGGGACAAAAGGTAATAGAGTCAAGAATAAAGACGGATTAAACCTTTAGTCCTCAAGGATGACTTAAGAAGTGAAAAATAAGATTACTTTAAAGTCATGAAGGATCCAAAAATGCTGTTCAGATTATAAGTATTCTTGATTTCATTTCATTCATTTTACTTCTAAAGCAGAGAACAGCAGGTTGTGTTTAATCGTACCTCCTGTTTAACCTGCAGTTTCCCAGCTCTAGAGCCATTCTGTTGGAAGCCACCATGCCCCTCAATGAACCCAACTTTAGAGTGAGAAACACACAACTCCCTTCATCTCTTCTCAATCTGACAGAAATATACACAGAGTAGAGGGGGTGTCTGGACATGATATCAGTGTTTCCCTGAGGTTGAGAATTTATTTGGTGCAGAAAATGAAAAATCTTTGTAGGTGGGCTGCTGCCCAAATAAAATCTCTACAATATATGGGAAACACGGACCACATGTTCTTTAAAGGAAAACAGGTTTGTTAAATTTATTGAATTTGGAATCTAATCCAGGTCAGACACACACCAGGGTCCGAAATTAACCTTTTTACTCACCGGGCAAATTGGCTAATAGTTGGAAAAAAATCCACCAATCAAACTTTTTATTTATTTATTTTTTTACTGGCCAAAATAATAAATGTCCTTTTTTTGTCACTTACACATTTGCTTCAGGATTTCATTGAGACTGTAAGGTATATGCTGAATACAAATGTAAAGAGGCCAGAGCAAAATTTTAAGATAAATTATTTTAGTAGGCTATATCAACCAGCAGTTAACAAATTCATTTTTGAATTAAAATTAAAAAACCACAATACAGCTCAAGTTGTATTGATTGCAAAATTCAGTAAGAAACAAAAGTAAAATCGATGTTTTGTAAAGCCACTGGATGCTTAAAGCTCTTCCTGAGACTCCTCATGCAATTGCCCTCTTTTCCATGAAGTCCGATCTCAGAGTGTGGCGGATGCACCCGTGGGACTCGCCGCTACTCTGCCTCTTAATGGCTATGGTCAGATGATTGCTTAGACAGACTACTGTGTAACCAGTATGCTCCTAGTTTAATCACTTCAACTGACTACACTGCCGTGTTGTCAGCTCGCATATCACTCGTACCCTGTGTATAACCATGACCTAAAGTGTATTTTTACTAATGCTGTCAATCGGTTTAAAAAGTTGAATCGAGTTAATCACAGTCATAGGGTGTGATTCATCACAATTATCCTAAATTAAAAACACTAGGATTTACTTGTATTATCAACCTGCACAATGTCAGAATAAAGAAATGCATGACAAACTGGTCAGAGGAAACATTCTTCAGTTTTATTAACATCTCAACCATTAACACTTAGCAAATGTTAAATTAAAATCTCTTAATTTGCTGATTACAAAAGTGTCAGGGAGTGTTTGGCATTGCCCAAAACATCCATATGAACTACAGATATTTTTAACAGATGCCTACATAAAGGACTGTTACAAAGTAATGTCTGCTACAAAGTCACACAAACACAAACACAACTTTCCTGAAAATTGCATGCATACTATACAGTGCATAGTAACATCAACTCAAATGAATGCACCAATGAATAGGCCTATTTAAGAAACTGAATGCCACAGTGTCTTTGAAGGGACATCTTCCATCTGGAAGCTTTTTATAATGAAACTTGCTTTTCACCACACCAGGTGAAGTCTTCTCAGTCATTATATTGCCTGTTTGACATTTGGGAGATACATTTCTCATCCAATGGGGGCAGCAAAAGTCACTTGACCACAGCCCTAGTCAGATCAGGTGATTTATTTGGAAGAAACAAAATGACTCCAGAAGAGGAGTACATCATTTTGCCACATCTTTGTGGGACAGTGGTGGCCCAAAGTTTAAAGAAGTGAGCTTGTGACCAGAAAGTTGCCTGTTTAATTCCTGAACTGGCAGAACTAAATCTGGATGGGACAGGTGAGAGGTGGCCTCTCAGTGAACCTACCCTGAATAGATATTGGTAAAAGAAAACAAAATGCTTGCTTGGAGCATGAAAGAGCCCCTACAGCAAAAGTCACTCTCAGCCACTCACTGTTGTTCTTTATCAGTGAATACACTTTGAATTACAAAGTAAACAGGAACAAATTTAGAATGCAGCTCTTGTCTTTTTTCCAAGGTGCTTCTCTTTCCACTGACTCCTGGCCCATGACCTTTGACCTCTTTCCAGAGGATGCTGTAACAAATTTAGCTTGGTCTAACCACCTGTTCTCACATGACAGCTAAACCATCTCTGTGACAGCACAGCATATTCCATCTGACAACTGTGAGATGCAGGCTTGGCAGTATTTTTTCTTACCTAACTTGTCCCAACAAACAAAAATTAATTTCAAAAGGAGAAGTTATTGCCGTACATTTAACATTGTAATAGCCTACAGTGTAGTGCCTGTAGTCTCATACCAATTACTTGGGCAAGTCTTGCTAAGAACAAATGCTTTTGACATACCTTATATTATGTGTTAGCACTGTGAATACAGCTAAATACTGTTAATATTGCCCGTGGCAATAATTTTACCTCCAAATAATTCTTTTGTTTTTCCCAGCTGTAATAAATTAATGTTATTTTACATTTTCCTTTCCCACTGATAAATATTTGAAACATCTATATTTAACTTTATTGGAGAATATCCTGTTCACTACCAAATGCATGGAATAAAGATAGGCTAATGGAACGGACACACTCTAATGAGTAAGAATATGTCCTGCTCAGTTAAAGGAAGGTTTGTGGGAGGTTTGGCTGAATAAGATAGGAAAGTGGACCTAATTTTATTATCCTAATTCAATCCTAGCATAGAGTACAAGTATTAAGCACCCAAAAAGGATAAAATCATCCTAATCATCTAGTTTTTTTAGCATGAAGATAGCCATATTTGCTTTAGATAGGAGCATTGCAGAGTCATCATGTTCCCTGCTGTGTTGGATTCAGATGCTCGTTAGTCAACCTGATTGTTAGCAGGAAGCAGAAGGCAGAGGAACACTGTTGATCAAAAACATACACACAATGTCTAATGACACCATTTAATTTTTTAAATCAACATTTGATGTGTAGTTTGCTTCAGTATACCGAACACTTAGAATATACTTCCAAATAAAAGCTGTATGACAGTAGTGTATTGTACAGTCTTAATTTGTTTTTGTCAAGCATGATATGATGCTTCCACTGAGTGAAATTATGCATGTTTATAATTGTCCCATTTCACAATGACATCAGGGAGTCAACAGTGCATTGCATTCTGGGATTTTCTTAGGGTGCTTGCCGGCAAAATGGACAACTAAGACAGAGTATGATGTACAGATTATATTTAAGGGATTTCACTACTGATGTCATGACACTGATAATGCTTCATCATCTACTAGCATAACCGTTAAACTGTTGTTTTTGTGTGGTACATACTGTAGCTGTGGTGGTATTCAATTAACAACTGTAAAGTTAATATAACCACACATAAACTAAGCCATCTGCGGTAAACACCCATTAAAACTTAAATTAACTGTCTCTAATGTAGTTAGTTGCACTTTATGTATTTGTTAAAAAAATCTCAATGAGATCAAGATATCTTTTTATATGCTATATTAATGTTACAGTCAACTAACCGCTGCAGCCATGCACCAGCACAAAAAGAACAGATCAACAGTTACATTAGTACTGTAGATGATGTAGCATTAGCGCTGTCTTCAGTATACCATGACATAAGATAGGAGGTCCCTTAAATAATATTTCAAACTAAATGTTGTCACTGTATAATCATGAACTGCCTAGAACTCTAAACCAGGGTTTTTCAACTAGTTGTGCCTCAGGGACCATAATTCTGACTAAGACTACGTTCACACTGCAGGTCTTAATGCTCAGATCGGATTTTTTGCCAAAATCCGATTTTTTTGTGCTGTTGTTCACACTGTCATTTAAATGTGACTGCCATCTGTCTCATGTGTGAATGGTATACGGCCCTGAGGTGACCCGCATGCGCAGAAGAGGACGTGATGTCAGACACAGCGTACTGTGTTTGCGAAAATAAAAATGGATGCAGCTCGTGATAGCATGTGCGTGGCGATGTACCAGTTAATGTGCAATCGAAATAAAGAAATAATAAGAAGAAGAATATCAAGAAGAAGGAGAGCACAAATATTGCTTATGGCCTCACCTCCTCCAGCGCAGAATTGTGACGTCTGTCGCATTTCAATGACATAAAAATCGCATGAAATGCGACATGGCCATTCAGACTGAAGTCGCATTGCAAAACATCGGGTATGTATCCGATTTAGGACCACATATGAAAGTGGCCTGGGCCTGATTTGAAAAAATCGGATTTGTGCTGTTCACACTGTCATAAGGAAATCGGATATGGGTCACATTTAATACATGTCAGTGTGTGTTTAAAAAAATGCCTACAGTGAAACTACATTATAAATGCATGGTCAGCCTTTTTGGACTGCCAGGGGGGCACAGTTTGAAAACAAATACTGATTTAAGCTATCAGTAGCTACACTAATGTTGTGAACTAATGCTGTAACATTTCCAAGTTCACTGCCCTTGTAATAAAATGCTTCTTTGATTCTGAACTTGAAACGCTAAAATCCCTGCACTCAAGCACCAGATAAGGCACATCATTGTCCTCGATAAATTTTGTGGGTAGAAAAGCCCCCCTCACATTGTACTCTTTACCAAATTTGGTCATTTTGTCAGAGCTCCCCCTCAAAAAAATCCCCAAATACAAAACGCATTGTTTACTCCTTGGTGTCACTGTTAAATCGGTCAATTGCTATATGAAAAAATTCCACAGACGTTTTGCATCGTTATATACAGTACACATTTGGAAGCTTTCATTTCTGTAGATTTGAACTATGTGAGCCTGTTAATAATGGACCCATTGATGCATTCATGGATATGAGTTTAAGAAAAGAACCAATCAAAACAACAACACTGTCTTTATGAGTCAGCCAGGTTCTTTAATACCATAAACCTGTATTTCTTGTCTTGTTCCCTGTGCCAATGTTCTCAACGGTATACCACAAATCATATGAAACTAATGACCAACTGATATTCACAATAAAAAGATAGATACGTTCAAGGTCTGTGAGATGCAAGGCTGAAACATGTTTTGTAGGAATGAACAGAATGTTATCTGAACTATCGTAGTGAACCAAAAGCCTCTTTCATATGCCTTCCCAAAGGCACTTGAACAGTATGGTTGACCTAACAGTGTTCAGCCTGGCAGTCACAGATGGCTGTTTTTTGTTTTTGTTGTTTTTTACATGGTGCTTCCCTTGGTGGTGGCATCCTCTATAACTGCTGCAAAGTAAGACTAATTGTTTCTTTCTCCTAAAATACCTGCGGATCGTTGTAAATAATTCCAATCATGGCTCTAGAGGTGTGTCCATATGGTACAGCTGTCTGTTCTGGAGCACCATGCTTTTTCCTTATAACCTATCCTGGTACCCAGTGTGTAGCAGATTTGTATTTACATCTCTCTCCTTCTCCTGCAGATCAATTTCAGGTGTAAACCATCTTTCAGAGAATCAGGCTCTAGGAACATTCGAGAGGTGAGTTCTGGAAGTTTATTTCTACTGATTGGTGTTTGGCAATACTGCAGTTGGAGCTGAATCTTGTTTTTACAAGCTTGGGAGCTGACAGGGAAGTCTCAGAAACAGCCACCAAGGGGTGATTGAGTCATGATGGCTTCACTTCTGGGAGCTGTCATGGCATCCATATATTATACAGTTGATGATTTTCACTTATTTATTGTATGGATGCTGAATCAGCATCCATACAATAATAATAATAATAATAAATAATTGGATAACATAGTATGGATGCTGACTTATCATCCATACCTTGTTTTCCTGGTCTTTATTATTGTATGGATGCTGAGTCAGCATCCATACTATGTTATCCAATTATTTTTTTATTATTATTATTATTATTGTATGGATGCTGATTCAGCATCCATACTATGTTTTCCAATTATTTCTTTATTATTAATATTATAATTTTTTTTCTTATTGTTGTTTTTATTCTTCCGTACGTTTTTTGGCACTTAACTACTTAAGCATACTTTCAGCTAAAAAAGCCATTCAGGTATCAAAATGTTCAGCTTTTTCAGGACATGCGCGGATGTATACAACTTTTTTGTAACTTTTGTACTTTTTAAAATATTCAGCTTTATTCTGAAAATCTTGCCCCATTCAAATGAATTTTTACTTCTTCGTACTTTCAGCGATTTCAGCTATTAACATGTTCAGCTCTTCAAGGACATTCATGCTTCTCTTCAGAATTTTTCTAAACTTCATACTTTTTAAATGTTTTTCCTTTATTTTGAAAGTTTTGCCCCATTCAAATGAATGGGGAAAGCTTTACTTCTTTGTACTTTCAGCTTTTTCAGCTATTAAAATGTTCAGCTCTTCAAGGACATTCATGCTTCTCTTCAGAATTTTTCTAAACTTCATACTTTTGAAATATTTTTGCTTAATTTTGAAAATCTTGCCCCATTCAAATGAATGGGAAAATTCTACCTCAGCATAATTTCCGCTATCAAAATGTTCAGCTCTTCAAGGACATTCATACTACTATACAGAAGTTTTCTAAACTTCATACATTTTAAATATTTAGCTTTATTTTGAAAATCTTGCCCCAATCAAATGAATAGGGAAATTCTACTTCAGCACACTTTCAGCTATTTCAGCTATCAAAACGTTCAGCTCTTCAAGGACATTCATGCTTCTATTCAGAATTTTTCTAAACTTAATACTTTTGAAATATTTAGCTTTATTTTGAAAATCTTGTCCCATTCAAATGAGTGGGGGAAAAATCTGCTTCAGCACACTTTCAGTTTTTCAGCTATCAAAAGGTTCAGCTTTTCAAGGGCATTCATGCTTTTATTCAGAGGTTTTCTAAACTTAATACTTTTAAAATATTTATCTTTGTTTTGAAAATCTTGCCCCATTCAAATGAATGGGAAATTTTTTTCTTCTGCATACTTTCAGCTGTTTCAGCTATTAAAGTGTTCAGCTGTTCAAGGACATTCATGCTTCTCTTCAGGATTTTTCTAAACCTTATCCCTTTGAAATATATAGCTTTATTTTGAAAGTTTTGCCCCATTAAAATGAACGGGAAAATTCTACTTCAGCATACCTTCAGCTATTTCAGATATCAAAATGTTCAGCTCTTCAAGGACATTCATGCTTCTCTTCAGGATTTTTCAAAATGTTATACCTTTGAAATATGTAGCTTTATTTTGAAAGTTTTTGCCCCATTCAAATGAATGGTAAAATTCTACTTCAGCATACCTTCAGCTATTTTAGGTATCAAAATGTTCAGCTTTTCAAGGACATTCATGCTTCTCTTCAGGATTTTTCTGAACTTCATACTTTTCAAATATATGTAGCTTTATTTTGAAAGTTTTGCCCCGTTCAAATGAATGGGGAAATTCTACTTTCAGCATACATTCAGCTATCAAAATGTTCAGCTCTTCAACGACATTCATGCGTCTATTCACAATTTTTCAAAACATTACACTTTTACAATATTTAGCTTTATTCTGAAAACTTTGTGCCTTTCAAATGAATGGGGAAATTCTACTTCAGCATACCTTCACCTATTTCGGGTATCAAAATGTTCAGCTCTCCCAGGACATTCATGCTTCGGCTCAGAATTTTTCTACACTTCACACTTCTGAAATATTTAGCTTTATTTTGAAAAATTTCCCCCATCCAAATGAATGGGAAAATTGTACTTCAGCATACTTTCAGGTAGATATGCTTTTCAGGTGTCAAAATGTTCAGCATTTTCAGGGCGATCCTTCAGCCCACAGAATCCACATGCATTTTCGACAGGAAATGCATTTCTCTAGTCATTTATATTTTTATGATCTTTACGTTCATACATGGTCATTGACTCAGTGTTATAGAATTTAACTTGTTATTTTGACTTGTGTGTATTCAGCCCATCGTGGTGCATCATCACTGGGTGCATCGGAGACGACAAGAAGGCAAATGTAAACAGTGTGGGAAGGTGAGTAGTAATTCTCATAGCGTTTTTTACAAATAATTTACTAATAATCATTTTAATGTTTGAGAAAGTATATACAGTGGGTACAGAAAGTATTTAGACCCTCCCTTTTGTTCATACACATGTATTCTGTCTTACTACGACTGACATTGTACTCCTCTCAAGTATTCAGACCCCCTTAAATTTTTCACTCTGTTATATTGCAGCCATATGCTAAAATCATTTAAGTTCATTTTTTTCCTCATTAATGTACACACAGCACCCCATATTGACAGAAAAACACAGAATTTTTGACATTTTTGCAGATTTATTAAAAAAGAAAAACTGAAATATCACATGGTCATAAGTATTCAGACCCTTTGCTCAGTATTTAGTAGAAGCACCCTTTTGAGCTAATACAGCCATGAGTCTTTTTGGGAATGATGCAACAAGTTTTTCACAGCTGCATTTGGGGATCCTCTGCCATTCCTCCTTGCAGATCCTCTCCAGTTCTGTCAGGTTGGATGGTAAACGTTGGTGGACAGCCATTTTCAGGTCTCTCCAGAGATGCTCCATTGGGTTTAAGTCAGGGCTCTGGCTGGGCCATTCAAGAACAGTCACGGAGTTGTTGTGAAGCCACTCCTTTGTTATTTTAGCTTTGTGCTTAGGGTCATTGTCTTGTTGGAAGGTGAACCTTTGGCCCAGTCTGAAGTCTTGAGCACTCTGGAGAAGGTTTTCGTCCAGGATATCCTTGTACTTGGCCGCATTCATCCTTCCCTTGATTGCAACCAGTCGTCCTGTCCCTGCAGCTCGAAAACACCCCCATAGCATGATGCTGCCACCACCCTGCTTCACTGTTGGGACTGTATTGGACAGGTGATGAGCAGTGCCTGGTTTTCTCCACACATACTGCTTAGAATTAAGGCCAAAAAGTTCTATCTTGGTCTCATCAGACCAGAGAATCTTATTTCTCACCATCTTGGAGTCCTTCAGGTGTTTTTTAGCAAACTCCATGTGGGCTTTCATGTGTCTTGCACTGAGGAGAGGCTTCCATCGGGCCACTCTGTTATAAAGCCCCAACTGATGGAGGGCTGCTAGTACTGTACATCTGTGTCAAGAAACTTATAATATGTGCATATGCTAATGACAATAATATTCACTTTATTTGTATAGAAGAACTGAATATCAAACTGATAGATTCTCTTAATAAATACAATTAAAAAGCCATACCAAAGTTCATTTTGAATCCCTGTTTGAGTTTGGACATGGTTGATGAGAGGATGTGGCGGGTCACACCTCTACCTATTGCAGCATCCCCTACACATTAAAAGGAATAATCAGAAACAGGTTTATTGCCAAAGAAGTGAAGGGAAGGGGGTTCACATTATAAGGCATTTGTTGTCGTGAGTTGGTGCATACATATAACATGGAGCATGAGACATGACAAATAACATAAGTGTCTGAAATAAGCAGCATAATAAGATACAAAACTAATGAGATAAAATAAGGTGCAGTGAAATAATACTGTACATTTACTTTTCTTATTTTCAAAATGAATTTACAGAATGAGCTAACACAATGTGCAAGTATAGAATATTCAGAGTGTGACTAAGTAGTGCAGTGTAAATAAACAGTGCAGCCAACCAATGGCATTAACGTTATCTTAAATCTACAGAAAATGTCCATATGTACAGTTGGAGCCTAACTCTCGTTGACTAAAGTACTGTCATGGTGTTTGGTTTGGTTGGGTTGAAAATGTCAAAAATTCTGTGTTTTTCTGTCAATATGGGGTGCTGTGTGTACATTAATGAGGAAAAAATGAACTTAAATGATTTTAGCATATGGCTGCAATATAACAAAGAGTGAAAATTTTAAGGGGGTCTGAATACTTTCCGTACCCACTGTATATGGTAATATGGAACTTTAAATTGCTTGTATTCTCCTTTAACTGAACGGAAATTAAACCAGTAGTTTACTTTTATTTTTCAGAAGCAGTGAAGCAAAACAGAACTTCTGTTCTTATATTTTTATGCAGGGCTTCCAACAGAAGTTTGCATTCCACAGTAAAGAGATTGTCGCAATCAGCTGCTCCTGGTGCAAACAGGCTGTGAGTATGTTGTTTTGTTTTGTTTTTTTTATTTTACACATTTGATATTAATTTTGTTTTCTACTTTTTAATAATTATATTTATTGTTATATTTTTCTCCTTAGTACCACAACAAGATTTCCTGCTTTATGCTGCAGCAGATTGAGGAGGCTTGTCCAATTGGAGCTCACGCTGCCCTCATTGTCCCGCCCACATGGATCATTCGAGTCCGACGCAATCAGGTCAGCCAGTCATAACCTGGGACCAGAGACAGTACTTGTCTTGTGAGGCACTAGACTCAACTGTACTGTACACTCAGGAGTGTGTTTTGAATACATACATGAAATTGTACACGCATGTGCCTGAATAAAGCTGTGACTGACTGCTTTTCGGTCCATTCTAGAAGTCTGTTTCCAATTTAGTAGTTTAACGTAGGTCCAGTAAAATGCTGATTGGAAATGCAGAATAGGTCAGATCTGCAGGTTTTGTGGGAGTGAGGGCAGGTCTAAAGACCTCATTCAATCAACTTTACAGAAAAAAAGACCTCTAAAGATCTTATTCACAAAGTAAGTGACTGTGGCTATGGAATATGGTCTTATACTTGTATAGAGCCTTTCTATGCTTTACAGCACACTCAAAGCGCTTTCACACTACTTGGCCATTCAACTATTTGCACTCTCAAACGCTCACACACCAGTGTTGCCACTGGGAGCAACTTGGGAGTCCAGTGTCTTTCTCAAGGACACTTTGACATGTTGACTGGATAAGCTGGGCATCGAACCGCTAATCCTCCGTTTAGGAAACAACCCACTCTACCTCCTGAGCCACAGCCACCCCCATAATATACTCATTTCTTACTGGCTAGCAGGTTTCTGTAATATGTAATGTTTAATAAACTGCAGATAACTTAGGTTAAGTTAAAATAAAAGTAAAGTGAATTGACCACATATAAACTAAGAAAAACAGATGATGATTTAGACACAGTCAACCTTCGTATGCACTTCTGACATTACATAAGTCCCCCAATAAAACAAATTCACTCTGCATGTGTTATATCAGAACACACACTTTGTCCCTCACTCATGTAACTATCTGTCCTGTTTAACTGTTCCTGAGGTTGTTGTTTTAGGTAGTTAGAACTGTATGATGGGATTTCATTTGTATAGAGGTTTATTTTGTTTAGTAGTTTAAGTAAGGTGATGATTTATATAATTTAACTAATATGCATACACTTGAATACAGTGTTGTGATGTATGACACTGGGTTGTGGAAGTCAGGTTGTCCCTCTGTTGATTCAGAAGATAACAAATGACTCCCTGAAGTCCCCCCTATGCTGTAGCATGACTCACATTTCTACATTAGTAACCTTCAAAGGTTATAGTAATAGCACAAGGACTACAGTATTACAGGGCTAAACTGTCAATACTAACCATTTAGGCTCAACTGATTTAGGTGCCCTGATATAAGATTTTAATTGAAAGCCTGTCATTAACAATACATTTTCATTGCTGTACTATAGTTTTCTAGGTTCTTTATTCAGAACAGTTGAATTAAGCATTGAACAATGTTTCTCATCAGGGTGGCTGTGTAGAGACAGATGCAACATCTGTATGATGCAGTGATGTAGTTGAGTCACTAAACCTCAAGTCAGCCTCGAGTCCGAGTCACCAGTGGTTTGAGTTGAGTCCCCGTTACCTGAGTCCAAGTTATTGCGGTCTACATTAAACACAAATGACAGCTCTCACCATTTTAAAATGAGTTTATTTACAGGTACTGTGCGTGAGACAAGTCTGAGTCATCATACTGACAGTTGGTCTATGACGAGTCAAGAGTCCTAAAAATCTGAACTTGAGTCCTGGAACACTAGCATTATGTAACACTGAGCTACTGTGCTATGTTTCCATTATTTTAATAATGGATATGGATGTGTTGACCACAATAAAGTGAAACACTTTTTACATTATTATGAGAACAAGCTGCCTCTCTGGTCCTCATGAACTCAAACTGCAGTGATGTACAGCTGCTGTCTTTGTTCGGTGTCTCAAACAGTCATCTATGAAGTCAAGTAAGAAGAAGAAGAGAACCTCGTTCAAGAGGAAATGCAGCAAGAAAGGAGCAGAGGTCAGTCCTACACTACAGTGTGTTGGCGCCTAGAGGTAGAATAAGATACCACTGTATTTCTTTGTTCCACAACTTGCCACACTTTAAGGTACATATATGAAACAGACAGTTGTTTTAAATTCCTCTTACCGTGCTTTTGTTTCACACACTTGTGTGCAAATTATTGAACACAAGTTTTAATATACTGTATTCACAGATTGAATTTCCCCATGTTGATCAAAACATTGAGGACATGAACATAATGCATTCCCTAGTCCCTTACCCTAACTTTAACCATCAAAACTAAATGCCAAAGCCCAACCATAACTTAAACCTGATTCTAACCTGAGCCCTTATATCTTAACTCTCAAATATCCTTTAGAAGGTGTGTCAGAAAGAGAGTTTTTGGCCAAAATATCCTCACTCCCATGATATAAAACTCAAACTGGTCCTCACAGTGTGAAGCCATACAAGTATGGGCAACACTCTCTGAGTCTTTGAATAGATTGTCTTCTTCTCTGACAGGAAGGACGGCAGTGGAAACCATTTATAATTCGACCCATCCCCTCGCCACTGATGAAACCACTGCTGGTGTTTGTCAACCCCAAGAGTGGAGGAAACCAGGTAGCCATGACCAAACCCAGTCAGCCTGGTCACAAAGCAGTCAGCCAGCAAGCCAGGTGGTCATTCACCAAATGAGTCAGTAAATGAGTCAATTAATCAATCGGTGTGTCTTCTAGTTTTTCTACTAGTCAGTCATCCATATATAAAGTACAAAAAGTTTGCAATTAGCTGCTATGGTGCCACTAAACCAGCCACTTTCTTGGGCCAGTGGTTTCCTAAAGGTTAGGAAAGCGAGCCTATGACCGGAAGGTCAGCAATTCGATCCCAAGACTGTCAGGATCAAATCTGAGTGGGACAGGTGACAAAGCAGACCAGTGTATGTCAGATTGAGGCCTTCATCAGTTTAAGAGTTATGTCTCAGCCCTAGCTGTTGTACTCTTTCTAGTCTTCCAATCTCCCGCTTGTCTCCCTATCTGGCAGGGCACTAAGATCCTGCAGTCGTTTATGTGGTACCTGAACCCTAGACAGGTGTTTGACCTGAGCCAAGGAGGACCAAAGGAGGGGTATATCTCACACAACCGCACACACAAATGTCATTAAACACCTACTGGTGATGTCAGAATGTGACAAATGTTTGACTAAATTGACTATTAACCAGTGTCGATCTTCTAGCCTGGAGCTGTACCGTAAAGTCCACAACCTGAGGATCCTGGCCTGTGGAGGAGACGGCACTGTGAGGAGTACCACATACACATGCACAATGCTATGGTGGTTAAGAGAATCTCAATGTCAAACATTCATATTTACTAGGAGGCTGTAGAGTAAGACAGGTGATATTTATAGTTACAAATCTGACAATTCAGAATCAGAATCTGCTTTAGTGGCCAGGTGTGTCGGACACACGAGGAATTTGACTCTGGTACATCGGCTCTCATTGTGCATGTACATATCCCCATGCAAGTGGCAAGTAAACAGTAAACCAGCATAAGGCTGTGTAATATAATAAGCAGTATTAACAAGCAGTAAACAATGCAGACAGACAAAGGAATGCTCATTGTGAAACGAGATAAATAGGAATAAAAATAGACTACTTAAAAAACAGAGACCTGTACAGATCTGTATAATCTGTACAATGTATATTTACAGCTATTGCCCCGAGGAAAGGTATTGCACTGAGGGTTATTGTCCAGTCATACTATGGTGGCTCAAGTGTTAATCAGAGTGACAGCCCGAGGGAAGAAACTGTCCTTGTACCTGGTTGTCAGTGACCTGTAACGCCATCCAGAGGGAAGCAGTTAGAACAGATTATGTCCCAGGTATGAGGGGTCTGCAGTGATCCTCTCTGCCCTCCTTTTGACCCGTGACGTGTACAGGTCCTCCATGGAGGGCAGGCTTGCACCAGTGACCTGTCCTGACTGTCCACTGAAGTCTGTACTTGTCCTTTGGGGTTGCGGAGCCGAACCGGGGGGGGGGGCTCTTCCTGAAGTCTACTGTCATCTCCACTGTTTTGAGCATGTTCAGCTCCAGGTTGTTGCAGGTAAACCACAAGACCCGCTGCTCACAGAGGGGTCCTTCGAGATGCAGTCGTTGGTGTAGAGTGAAAACAGCAGAGGGGAGAGCACACATCCCTGGGGGGTACCTGTGCTTATTGTCTGGGTACTGGATGTGGTTTTCCCCAGCCTCACCTGCTGCTTCCTATCTGTCAGAAAGCTAGTAATCCACTGATAGGTGGGGGCAGGCACAGTGAGCTGGGTCAGTTTGGAGTGGAGGATGTCCAGGATGATGGTGTTGAATGAAGAGCTGAAGTCCAGAAAGAGGGCCCGTTCATAGGTTCCTGGAGAGTCAAGGTGTTGCAGGATGTAATGCAGTACCATGTTAACTGCGTTGTCCACAGACCTGTGTAGCCGCAAGAATCAATACACAGGGAGAATCACTGCAGTGCTAATTATCATTTATTGAACAATATTTTATGATTATGATTGAGAGGGCGAGAAACAGAATCACCTGTGTCAGTCTGAGCCTCTGCAGAGAAAGTTAGGCTGTTAGTCACTGGTTCTAGTCTTCTCCTCGGGTCTTCACACACACACCTGATCAACTCTCCAGCTAACTATATGGCCATTCCCCACTTCCTGTGATTGTCCAGATCTTGACATCCAACCGGGCCCCCACCCTGGTTACACTTCTCTATTTTTGATAACCCCCTGCACACTGTGCTAAACAACAGGAAGTCTGGTGCCTAACGTCCTTGCAGAGACCCGTACAAGGGAGCAGAAAGTGCACCCTAACCATACTACATGTTGTGCATTTACTAATATTAGCTATTAACTATATTCTGATCCTATTCTGATTATATTCAGTTTGCTTTAACCACTACACCTGTTTGCCCGGTAGGCAAACTGCAGGGGGTCTACGATGTCCTAGCTGATCAACAAACACTTTCAGGCAGGAGGGGGTCACACCATCTGGGCCTGGTGCCTTTCTGATCCTTTGTTTTTTAAAGAGGCCACGCACATCCTCAGACCTGCAGTAGAACACATTCAGGTCATCTGCTAGTTGATGGTCTTCCACAGCAGGGGGGGCATGGTTTCCTATAGCCAGTGATGCTTTTCAGGCTCCCCCACACAGATGTAATACCCCAGTTCTTTAATTGGACAGCTCTGAATAACGAAGGAGTCCATCTTTCTTCATCTAGTGCTGATTTTATTTTAACCACAAGTAAAAATTACAAACACGACCCGGGTTGCTCCTCCTTCCAGAGACACACACACACACACACACACACACACACACACACACACACACACACACACACACACACACACAGACGTTTTTTAGTCAATGAAAATTGTATTTTAGTCTCTTTTTAGTAATGCAATTCTATTTAACCCAGTCAATATAGTACAAGTACCTACTAGTATAGAGGAAACCAAAAGTTTCTTTTAGCCAAACCCATTTCAAACAAGGTTATCTTATTATATTATTGTTACCTTATAGACTAAAGAGTACATCCAATACACATTTTGTGTGATTTTGTGGCCGCATTTCTCCCCATCTTTTCCCACAACACATTGTTTTCTTTTCCACTTCTATGTAATTAAAGTTTTTCCAAATGTTGTTTCTTCTTTTTCTCCCAATGACGAACCCCAGCTGGCCAGCCATCGGTCCCTTTCTCTGTGTCAGACTTAACTTTGTTTGTTGTCGTCTTCTAAATATTGCCACGAGTGGGGCTTAAGGAAGTAACGTTGCCTGCATCTGCGCAGTGCGGCTTGATGCAGCCCCTGAAGCAAGACACAGGAAACAGAAATACTGCAAAATAATAATAATAGCGCGACTGAACGAGACGAAATAACATAACATTTCATTTCATTTCGTTTTGGTCAATGAAAATAAAGAGACATTTTGGCATAGTTTTTATTTTGTGAACCACATTTAGTCAAATTTTTTTTGTCAACAATATTGCATTATACATTTAATTATAGTCATCGTCACACGGCCAACATTTTCGTTGCGTCTCGTCTCGTTTTTGTCACGCGATAAAGGTTCGTTGACGACGATATTTAGTCATAATTTTCGTTGACAAAGCAACTATACACACACACACAGGCTGCTGGAAAGTGGAGTCCCTGACTACACGGAATACATTTATAAGTTCTTGGCTAACCCCTTACCCAGATGAAATCAGTTCGAAGACTCCATGTTTTATCTAGTGCTCCACATGCTTTGAGCAGCTGCATTTTTACCTAGTCATTACAAAATGAAGAATCTCAATGTGTGTTTATGTTGTCACGTGGTGTGTAGCTAAGGCATTCATTCATTTATTCAGACATAATATTCTAACACAAGATTAATACAAGAAAAGAACTGGTGTCATGGTTCACTTTTCAGAATCAACATTCTGTTTGCCAACCTTGAAACAAAACAGACTAGAGCAGACTTTAAATCTTACTAAACTGCATTACTAACACATTGTCTAACAATTATCTAACTGATTTACTAATATCTAACACAGACGAGGAGTCGTTGGCTGAAACCTGGGCTTTCAGCTTTTCAGAGTAGCTCCTCTTTGCTGCTCTGATCTCCCTTGTCAGTGTGTTCCTGGCCTGGCTGTAGGCCTCCTCTTTGGCACGACGAAGCTGCTCGAGTCTTGCTGTGAACTAGGGCTTGTTGTTGTTGTATGTGCAGAAGGACTTTCTGGGCACACAGACATCCTCACAAAAGCTGATATAAAATGACACAGTGTCAGTGAGTTCATACAAGTCTGTAGCTGCAGTCTCAAACACACTCCAATCTGTGCAGTCAAAGCAGGCCTGTAGCTCTGACTTAGCTTCCTCAGTCCAGCTCTTCACTGTTTTGACCACAGGTTTACAGCTTTAAGTTTCTGTCTGTAGGTTGGAATAAGATGGACCATACAGTGATCAGAGCATCCAAGGGCTGCACGGGGGACAGAGTGATAGGTGTTTTTTATTGTTGTGTGGCAGTGGTCCAGTGTGATTTTGTCCCTGGTGGGAGAGGTAACATGCTGTCTGTAATTAGGCAGTTTGTGGGTGAGATTTGCTCTGTTAAAGTCCCCTAGAACAATGAGTGGAGAGTCGGGATGTTCTAGCTCCACGCTAGTTATGTGTTCGGCCAGGAGCTGTTGTACGCTAGTGTGAGCCTGTAGCTTTAAATAGACACCCACCAGGATGAAGCTCGAAAATTCTTGGAGGGAATAGAAGGGTTTGCAGTTGATAGTTTCTAAGTCCGAGTTGCATGTCCTCAGTAACACTGTGACATCTGTGCACCAACCTTCATTTATGTAGAGACAGATCACCCCCTCCTCTCGTTTTCCCGGACAGCTCAGTCACTTTCTCAATTGCCGTTGTCCTCCTGGTTGGAGCAATCACTTTAACTGGCTTCCTGGTTTAAAGGTGGTTTAGCAGTTACAGCCAAAGTCTTAGCGACAATATACTACACAAAATACTGTTTTGTACTTGTCCACTTGGGGGTTGCAGGACTACAGATTCTTCAATTGCATCTGACATTCTGTTTATAACCTTACTCCATGTAACATATGTCTCATTTCGCTGTCCCAATGGAGGTTTGAATCCTACTCTAACCACCCAGACATCATGCCAATTAACTTCTCTTTCCCCCACTCTGATGGCACATGACCTTGTCCCCAAGAGTCAGGGGGTCTACTGGACCACCATCCAGAAATCCACTCGATTCCATACACGTCTTCCAGGTATTTGGTCTGAGAACATATAGAGACTGAAAGGATTTATGTTAGAAGTTCAGGGTTGCTTAGACATCTGCGCAACTCAAGTATCGTTCTCCGTATACCTCCAGTTTTTGTCATTCGATGTCCACTCTTGCACTCCTGGCCATTCCCTAGGCGCAGCCCTTTTACTTCTTTCCACAGCTCCATCACCTCTACCTGGCTTTCTCTCCTCTGCAGAGTCAAAGAGATGGGAGCACAGCTGGATCATGACCAGTATCATTGTCAGAATGAGTATCAAGCTCACTCCCCTCCTCTGCTGCTCCAGATGATGCTCATTTTCCTCTTTTGGCACTGCTTACAGCTCTGAACTGTCCGTGTTCTCAGGAACCTTTACACAGTGGCTTAGGTGATACCACGTAGGCGAACCTTTCACTTGCACTGCTTTGGCGGTTGCATTGACCACCTCGTATGGACCTTCTCTTCAAGGAAAGTCCCACTTTCTCCTAAACACCTTAATATACACTAAGTCTCCT